TGTAAAGAAAAATAATGTTTCACCGGAGTAAAATTCTTCAACGTTAAATGATAGAATTTGGTCGAAAAAGGACAAAATGATAGATTTATAGCACTAGCACCTATTTGTCTATGTTGATTTCTCGAGACTCTACTTTTGGAATGTATACAATCAAGACAATATTAGCAGTTTTCAAAAATAATATGCATATACAAAAATGAGCAAAAAACATGGCATTAGAACATGCAATACTAAAATCCCAGAAATTGAGCTTCATTTATCAACATGGGTGGTTTTGTTCCAAGACTTATCCAACCATCAAATCCTACCAACTGCCAAAAACCCAACATTTTGGAACATTTCACTTTGATATTCAATCATAACACATACATCAGCTGGGTAAAAAATCTATCAACAAAAGCCAACCTTTTTCTAAAAATACTTCCAGCTCTTGGGAGACTATACCCAAAATTATAAATCCAATATTTACAAAACAATGCGAACTTGTTTGAACGTGTGTGCATTGCAAAAAAAATTCAAAAGACCACGTACGTGGATTAAGTTTTACAAATTCGTGCAGTCTACGATAGTGGAGGCGGATCACGACCAAGCTTGTCAAAAACCAATGCACGTATGTATTTCTCGCTCGTCAGGTTCATAAATACCTTAGCCAAACCATCGTCAGATCGAAAGGCTTTCATGACTTCCATTACATCCTTCATGTCTAGGTCTATTGCCTCCAACTTCTCTACAATCAATTGCCAGTTCACATGATTCTGTTTATCTAGCATAGCTTGCATTTCCATAGTTTGAGCATTTTTTGTAGATGACTCAACAATCCTTGATAGGGAGATATTAGCCTCATCCACCGGTTGTGCACGGCGATGCTTGGCTTTGTTGTTCCCATCTTCGGCGATACGCTTTGTTGTTCCACATCTAACTCGTTCACACTTTCATTAGTTACTACATTAAAGAGATAACAACTTATTTGAAGTTTATACATGAATACAATCAAAGTATCATACTATAAAATATATTGCATACCATTCATTGGGGAGAAATGGTCGAAGCCAGACACTGCTCGATCTCCGGTAGTAGCATCATTGCCAAAGGTAGTCTCCATGTCATCATATCTTGGACAAAGTTTGGTCCTCCACTTTCCACATTCTGGCTTTCCCTGCAAAATAACCCTATGAGTGTATTGTAACTACCCCGGAACTTCTAATTTCCCAGAACTATTAATAGCAATGTCCAAAAATGCGTCCTAATTCGTAC